CGCGGGGTCTTGTGCGGCGCGGGCGGCGGGGACTGCCCGGGACTGTTCCGCTCTGTGGGCAGCGCCGGCGTTAAGGAACGATGCGGCCGGAGCAGAAAGGATCCGTCACGAGACTCGAGTCGAGGTCATGCAAAGTCTGTCGGCTGCGGTGGGAAGCAGAGCCCTGCGCAGTGTCATGGGCAGAGCGGGTCTGCTGCGGGCATGAGAGTAGAGGCACCGCCAGGGGGTTGGAAGTGCAGCGTGAAGGGTTAGTGCAAAGGTGATGTGGAACCACGTGCGTGTGACAATGACAGTTTGCACAGACAGGGACAGTGCACAGAGCCTCCCTTGCTGCTCCATGAAATCCCGCCTGGAACGTGAGGCCTGGAGCAGCGTGTGGAAGGGATGTCTTTGTTTCAAGTATGGCAGACTGCCGGAGCTTCTTGTCCCACTGGTGCCCTCAGTCGCCTCACGGTGCAGGCCACAGGCTAGCGAGATGCAAATACACAGGCTTTTCAAAAGCCACTTCTGGGGTTGGTTTCCCTGAAATGTGAGTGCTTTCGTACAAACCAGGAGCATGTCCTCATTTGCATTCGTTCAGGGTTCTGCACAGTAATATGTTATCAGAGAACAGGACAACAGCCTCTTGAGGAAACCATGGATGTGTTGCGCACTTGAATCATCCGAAGTTATTGGGGTGCAGAATTCAGCCTGCTGCAGAGGCTCCTGATAATTATAATCCCTGATCCTGGCTCTGTCAGGTTCCCAATATGACTAAGCTGCAAACCCTGCCAAACACTGCATGTCCTGTCACCTGCTGACAGGCCCTTTCCATTGAACATATTGGGAAATCCTTTCTCTCGGGGGAATATGTGGAACCACAGGGCTGGAAGAGAGCAGGCAGTGAGTTCACCAAACTGAGTGAGGCAAACTTGGGCATCTTGCCCAGGGGACACCCAGGGAAACGTGTGGTTTGGAGTCCTGGAGCATGTACCCTGGCATGGCAGCCTGGGTTTCACCAGGGGCTGAAGGCTAAGGGTCATACATACGACCTGAAAGTGGAATTAAGTCTTTTCCACTGAAGGTTATAAAGTCTTTAGTTGCAAGTCACTGCTGTCCTTCATCCCCTTCCTGCTTTTTCTTTACTCCAACTTGTGACCTATCAATCTGTCTTTGCTAGCACAGCTGCTCACAGGGTCAGCCAATAAAATGGATTGAGGAATTTATGTGACATAAAAAAAAAACTTTTTTTTGTTACTAGGTTATTTTTCAACTAGCTTTGTTCTGTGCTTCAAGTCAGAAAGCATATATCAATTGGTGACAAGGAACAGACTGTTGCAGCATGGCATGTAATGTTACTGTATTAGATGCACAAAAGTATCAGGGATCCTTAATTTGCATGTGCAATGTAATTTAAAAATAATATCAAGGTTCAGTTATGAAAGTGTGTGTACTACAGAAATAGGTGTGTTTTGCCAGCAGTAATCTAAGTTTTGTTGCTGTTCAAGAAGGTTGAATTAAGTTCTTGTTGGAATTCACAAGGCCAGTAGAAATGTTACTAGATTGTATGTCAGGAAAAGAAAATAAATACATTATGATAGGGCCTGTGAACTCTTTATCACACTAGTAGGGAACAGCAAAAAAAAAAAGAAAAAAATTAAGTATTTCCTTCCTGAGAAGTAGGGAGAGAAAGAGTTTTAAAGAGGCCATGGCAGGAAATACTACTACAAGACAAATTTGGTCTTGGAGATGAATTCCTACTTTCTCCATTTTTAATTGTTTTTTATTTCATTATTAATTGTTCACTTGATTATATTATCTTTTCTTCTGTTTATTGTCTGGTGGTTTCATCTGTTCCTTGTTCTCTCTTTACATTTCCTTTACATTGCTCTCTTCCTATTTTATGTGAGGTTTATGTCTGCAGCAACTTTAGTGAAGTCATGGCAAGGTGCTGTCTGTAGACGAGGTGCCAATGACTCTGTTGAATGGTTGTATTTCATTTCACAAGACTCTTTTGTAAGGACTGGAAGGTGGTTAGTTTGTTTTAAAGGGGTGTATGGTGTAATTTAGTTGAACAGAACCTCACGCAAGAACAGAGGTCTGCATGTGCAGATCCAGTTATAAGGTCAAGGCGTGGGTGTACAACAATTAGCCTGCTGAGCACAACAAATAGGATTAAACGGACACATCAGTCAATATGATCTATTCTGAATAAACTGTATTTACCTGTTTTCAGCTGCATGGTGTTTTATGGAGAATTTCTTTCCATTGTCTTTCACATTGTTTATATTAGGTTTTAAGAATTTAATACCTAGTACAATTTCATGATTCATATCTTGTTAATATTCCAATTGTCTATATTAATAATACTTTCTTACACCATGAAAAAAATCTGGGCTGTTTTTCTGTTAAGTTATTTTATCCCGTCAGACTAAGGACACAAAACCATTGAGGAATTTAACTGGTCTGTTTATCAGAACTAAACTTTTACAGTGTCTGGAAATGAAAAACTTTTTGTTTACCACAAAATTAATATAAAAAATTAAAGACGGATTATTTTAATATACTATAACTAAGAATCTGACATTCTGTTTACACTGATTCAATACCAAAGTGAAACAGAAGCAACCTTTAGGTTCTAAAACTTGATCTTTATTGACCAAGTCTGATCTTCCGTGATTACTTATCTTTGTGCTTTAATTTATCCATCCATAAAATGTAAACAGTACTTACTATGACACTCGGAGTTAATTTCTCTAAGACTGTGTTTTATCTTTTCAATGAGCAATTTAGCATAACCTTTGCTCTTTTCTTGCCGGCTTTACTAATAAAAGATAATGACAATGACTTTTGATCTGTTTCCCAACATGTTCTTTACTGGTAAGTCATTTTAGACAATGCAAATCATCGTATTTTACACATTAAAATTACTGCTTATTTTTGCTGTCCAGATAGCTCAAATGATTGCTCTATCCATGCTAACTCATTGTTTCAAACTAATTGCCATAAAAACAGATTTTAATGTCATTTAATAGGCAGAAGCTTGCAGTGGTTTTATTAAATGGGAAAATATCCTTTTCTCAATTTTACTTATCTATAGAATAATTAGATATATAGTTTTCACTCATGTTATTCTCCTACTAAAATTTTGCCAGTCTTTGAAAATGTTGTGTAGTCAGACTGTGTTTTCAGGAATACAGTGCAATTCCTGGTGCTAGCCTCTTTATCTGTGTAGCTCACTAGAACAAACAGCAAATTCCAGGCTGGAGCTGACAGCTGTGGAGCGTAACTGTTGGTTTCCACGGCCAACCTCAGTCAGCTGTTGTGGCTGCGGATGCAGCTGGCAGCGCATGGCAAGGGGCAACGCGCAGCTCTGCAGCTCGGCAAGTAGGAGTTACATCTTCCAACCTAGCACCGGCTTGTGAGACAGGCTGAGCAAGAGCCTTCATCCAGGAGGATGGGTATCACGTAAAGTGGCAGTCAGATATGGCAGCTCGTGTCTCCGGTTGCCATTTCTTTCAATGAAGTTGCAGTGGCATTGATGGAGTGCAGAGGCTTTGTGCAAAACCTTATGAGAGTTGTAATTCCAGGAAAGAACGAGAAAAATTGTTTTGCCAAGTTATAAAGTGCTGTTCTTATTAAACCACTAAGTTAAATTCAGGCTGAAATGACCATTCTTGGCCACAGTTCAATAGCTGTTTTGTTTTGTTTGTTTCTTTGTTGTTTGTTTTGTTTTCTCCAAGAGCAAACTTCTGGACAGGTAGTAAGTGTGAAGAACATACTAAAATACTGTTGTATTGTGTGCTACTACAATACCTGCACATTAGGTTCCCACTAAAGAATTTAATTATAACTGCTGTACTGTACAATCTGAAATACTGGATGAAGTGATCTTTTAGTAGAGATTCAGCTGCATTCAGGGTTTTGGTTCTTACAGAATCATAGAATCGTTAAGGTTGGAAGGGACCTCTAGAGGTCATCTAGTCCAATCCTCCTGCACACGCAGGGTCACCTAGAGCACGTGGCACGGGATTGCGTTGACTTTAATGCAGAATCATTCCGAGACCATTGTAAATCTGCACAGCATTTGTCAAAGAAACGTTGACAAGCCAGATCCAAGGTGAATCCAGAAAAGGTTCACCTGTAAGGTCAGCTTAATATTTGTCTTATGGAACAGCTGAAAAGATAAGTTAATCAAATCATCAGTGATGGAAGAAACATAGCAAACCAATTAGCTGTGGCTGTAATTGGAGAGCAGTGCACTAATCTAGTTTGGGGCTGATAAATTTATGGATGCTTTGGGAAATCTGAATCAACAAAGAAGACAAAAATTCAGGTGAAGGCAGAAGGCTGCTT